TCGTTATCTATCTAGCTTCTCTCACTCGCACTCTCTCTGTCTCTCTCACTTTCACCCGTTTTCACTCTATCGCCTATCATTACCTAGCTTCCTCATTCCGCATCGTTCCCATTTCCAAAGCCGCGATATTCATTATCGTACTGCTAATCCTTATCGTCCGATCTGTTCCCTGTGGCCCATGACAGTAATCAGTAGCATCAATCGTGAAGTTTCTAAAAAAGTCTAAGTTGTTGTTTAACATATAATAAAGGAAGGTGATACCTATGAAACTGATGCATCCAAGTGTGCTTCCATTCCACTTCCGTCGGATCCTCGAACCAATGCCAGATCTCGCGGAATGACGGGATTTTCTGCTTTGTTGAATTGGCTAAAAATGGAATAGGAAAACGCTACCTAAATCGACTATCTAAATCGTATAGATTAAAAACATATATAAATAAACAATTTCAAAAAACACAAACCCAATCCCTTCCCTCGATGGCTCAACGTCTCCATCGGGTCGCGCAGCCCGACTTCGTGAAGTTTGAAATCCGACGCAGCCAAGAAGGTGAAGAGATACAGCAGCCAGCCCAGGATAGGCCGCATTTTTCTAAAAACAACAAGTATAGAAAATATCGAAGATCTGTTAATACTTGGGAGTAGAAAGTTTTATCACTGCCTTTTAAGTTAGAAAACGGCGCAACGAAAGGAGAATTTTTTGGGAAACCAAAGTGAGAAGCCTCGGCTCGTCGACGACCGCCAATCTTGGGATCGGATCAAAACATTACCCGGCCCTGCCCCTTAACCGGGCACCATGGGGCTTCTGGGAGGAACTGTAAACATCTGGTCGATGGCAAGTCGTGTGCTGCCCTTTGCCCGGCGAGAAAATGAGTCAACGATGGGGGCGATAGCGTTTTTATTCAAATGACCCGAGGGAGGGGATCGGTTTTGCAGAATTTCTAACTAGAAACGCGGTGGGAATGATAATGACGCAATTTTAAGGTATTCAGAAAGTTCACCCAGGCTACTCCTCGCTGCCAAAAGTGTCGGCCTAGCTTTTTAGAGGCTGACATGACTGTTGGTCTTTGTAAAGATCAGAATCTTTCCAACGAAGCGATAAAATGAAGTTCAGTGATAGTGACGGCCGGTTTTTCAAAGATGTGCAGTCTAGCTTTCCTCGACTCTTCTTTTCAGCGAACTAACAAGCGTCAAAATCATGCATTTCCGGCAACTAGTCCTTGACAGCTACGTGCTAGGCCAATAAACGCGCTACAGATTTTTTTTATATGTTCCCCTAAATACGTAACGACATGACAACAGCACCTGGTATACCGTATCATCGTTTCGTACGCATATTTGTACCTTCCAAAAATCTTAAAATGCTGAATCTTGAATGCTTAAATTTTACATAATGAAGCAATCTCGATCTTGCTCCCAAAACTCATGGTATTTTGAGCCAGCTACTATGTGTTAAGCGTTATAAAAAATTCAGAGGTTCAGCTTGCAATACAAAACAATACCAAATCGCGCCTGCACAGTTAAACGCAGAAAAGGAAGGAAATCAGACAGGCAGCTAAAGAACAGCGACGTAAAAGAAAGGTATGATGTTGAAAACCAAAGTTTCGATGTGTTCCAATCGCCCGGAGGTCCGAACGCCCAAAACTCCTATAAGGAGGAATGCGCAAGACAAAGATGGGAGACTGTTGGTGGGGCTGGTTGTGGCCAGCGGGTGAGGCACAGCCGGGCAATCTGTATGTTGAGGGCTGTTTTGAGGGGGGAAATGCGAGTGGCGCTCCCCCATCCTTGGCCATGTGTTAATGGGTGCCCCAATCTGGTCGATCGACGCTTGAAAGCAACTGACCCTTTCAAAAACCGCCCGCAACACATTTCCGCCAATCGCTCCACATTTGGCTAGGCATCCCCTTCAACTCCTCGGCCTCTTTTTGGCCACATGCAAATGTTTATACAAACTGTCGAGTGGCGGTATCTTGTCTGTATAGCCAGATGGATGAATGGTGGATGTCGAGACAGTAAAGTAGCTACATAGTTTTCGAGCTATGGCAAAAATAAGCCTTGCTTTTTTTTACATTTTTTTGACATTAATTTTTTTCCATCAGTAAACGTTGAACCATATACACACAAAAATAGATATTCATAAATTAGAAATTAACTAAAATCTCCGTTTCTCTCTTAGATTTCCTAGCAAAATACACCTGGACTTTTACAGTTTGCGTCGCATCAAGCACTCCTTGTGATAGCTAATGTCAGCTGTGTGGTGCTGCGCGAAGAGGAAAATGTATCACAGCGGACGGTGAAGAGATTTATTAATGAGTTACGATGTGGGTACGTACATCGGATTGCAGCGTACTTTAGAATAGTATTACCGATTAACTTTTCACATACATTAATAACACGTCCCGATACTACCAAAGTTCATTTCAGATGTTGCGTATCGTACCCCCCGCTGTTTACTATAAACGAGCAGATCCGCAAAGGATTTGCCAAGTCCTTTGAAAACCATAAATTACAAATTTATCACTATTTGCGTAAATAACTGCGATGAAACCGTAATATTCACCCGGCCGCCGCGCATCGATAGGAATAGTCCTCGTCAGGAGAGCGAAGACAGCTAATAGATCTTTCAAAAATTATTAAGATACAAGAATCTCGAAAATCGACTTCAAACCGACCTATAAGTTAGTTCAGTAACTACAGAGACGACAATGGGGAGGATCAAGAAGATCCACACCAGGTAAACTAAACATTTTGTAGCTTGCACGAGCATGCCAATTTTGGATTTAAAGGGACGGGCAAGGCAGGGCTATGAATTTTTGCCCATGGATTTTCTATGGATTCACGGCGACCGCGTCACGCAACGCGGCCGTTTCATCGCGCGTTACGGGAAACATTCAACCAGATGAAAGCATATGAAGACGCGTTACGTGTCGCTGGCCCAGCAAGGTGAATCTATCGACATTTTCCGCGTTTGTGCTATTGTCTGTCCCAGTGACCGCGATACCAACGCGCAAATGTCCCGCGGGCAACGTAAGGTCCATAGCCAATTCATGGTCAATTCTCTGGCCTTTTACCGCGATTCAATCTATTACGCAACGGAATGATAGGCGCGTGCGTTGCGTGTCGCGGCCCAGCGAAATGAAGCTATGGCCAAAAACACAGCCTTGCATTTCCGCTCTCTTTAAAGCTCAAAAATCGCTAAAGCATCGATACCTGCAATCTGGATCACGCACCATTTAAGCAGTACAATAAGTATAATACGAAAAATGCCCGCAAAAGTTGACATCGAATCAGGACGATCATTCATTTCAATGTTTCATAAGACTGTAAACCAACGGGAAAGCGGTAGCCGAAATGGATGACTCAAGGAGAGCAGGCAAACATTCATGTTTACAATTGTCCCTGCCACATAGACCAAGGAACCGAAGAGCGTTAAACAGAAAATGGCACAGTTCGGATAGGTTCTTCGAGGAAAGGTTGGGTTCTGGCAGGGCGGTACTCGCTTTCTTTCTCTTTTTGCTCTCGAAAAACGCTGTCTCTATACCCTCCAAGATGTCTCTTCACTTTTCTCTTGAAAGATTGATGCTAGTGTGCTTCGGTGCACGTGGCGAAATACTTGGACTTAGGGTTCAAAAAGTGGGGCGATTTTGCCGAAAGAGCCCACAGGGTATATTTTCTTATTAACAGTGGTCTACCGAGAAAGATATAGAGCTTTAATTTAATTATCTCGCTCTGCAATGGACTAGCTGCCTGTAAATATTTTCGTTGTAAAAACGTTTTCATTGTAGTAATATGAATATTTATTAAACACAGTAAAACAGGAAGTGAGAGAGAGAGAGAGAGAGAGAGAGAGAGAGAGAGAGAGAGAGAGAGAGAGAGGAAACCCACACACCCGGCAAGTTCACCAAGTCGTAGCCTCCATACCTTCCCAATGCTTCTCAATATCGTTCGCTACTTTTGCGTCCGTGATTTGTTTGCAAATGGCTGGGTCCTC